TTTCCCAAAAGCAGGAAAGAGAAGGGAGCCTTGGCAGGGCTTCCTGATGGGTGTCTGGTTGTTCAACTACTTGTAAGGAAAAACCAGAGCTGCATCTCTCTTTGTCTGCTCTGGTTCTTTCCCAACGAGCGGGGCTGGAGAGGAGTGTGTGGAGGCTCAGGCTGTGAGGGGATGGATCCATGGCTGTGGCTCCCCCCTTGCTAGGCCGCAGCTGCGAGATGTAGAGCTGCCTGCAGGGATTGCAGGGGCTGCTGTGATGGAAGCTGGGGTCTCTGGGGGCCTGCAGGAGGATATGGCTCATCCCTGTGCTGGGATGAGGGTGCCTCTGAGCTTGGGGTAGCTCTGTGTCAGGCTCTGTGGCAGTGTTGTGTGGGGAGAAGGGGTCAGGGAGAGCAGCTTTGTGCTCTGCGTCTCTGGGCCTGCTGGCAACACTGCTGTGAATGATGGCTTTTGCCTGATGGTTTCCTTCCTCCTGGGACCTGGTTATTACTGTTGGAATAGATGGATATAGGAGGAAATAGGAACTTCTGGTTGTCTTGGAGTCAGAGTTAACCCCTTGTAAATAAGAAGGAAACTGAGGCATGGAGAGGCTCTGCACCAAATGCAGTCCAACAGGCCTAAATTAGCCCTACTCCTAATTAGCCAGCTGAATTTGGACTGTAAACACACAAGCATGTCTGGTGCTGAAGATTCTTTTTTGCTGCTGGTTTGCTGAGAATACCTGAAACCTTTCCTTTGCCTGCCACACTGTTCCATGGCCCTGACTCTGGTGAGAGGTGGTACCTTTGGTGTCTCAGTCAGGGCCCTTTAAATCCTTCCCACAAAGGGTTTTCCTTTCCTGTAAGAGGAAGGAGTGCAGCAGGCATTGTACAGCCTTGCTGCAGTGCCAGACACTGGTAATAACCTCATTAGAGGATCCCCTCTTCCTCTTTCTTCCTCTCTAGGCCCATAAAGCACTTGCAGATGTGAAGGCAGCTTCCAAGCATGGCTCACCTGCTCTTTGTAGTGCTTGGGCTTGATGCAGCTCCAGGGAGCTCTTTAGAAAGCCCTGTAAAAGTATCAAAGGGATGACTGGATGTTTTAAAACCTTTGGATAGGGTTTTCTGGCCCAGGCTTTGTGAAAGCTTTGTTTTCCTATGATCAGCCAAGGTACCTGGGCAGACCAAAGGTGTGGTTTGCCCAGCACCCTGTCTCTGAGGCTGTGTTTTGAACTTGTTAGTACTGGCTTTGTGCATTGCACTGATGCACCTGATCTGCCTCATCTTTGCCACATGCAGGACCTGCTCTGGTTTTACCTTTGTATGCTGAGGAAGAAGACACGTAGGGAGTTGGTTGTTATTTAACACAACATAGACACCTCAGCTGTCAGAATCAGCTGGACAATATTTTTGGAGCTGGAAAAATGCATTTTTGTTGAAATAGTGCACAACACTTTTTTTTTATTGTGTCTTTGAGCTATAACTGTACAACAAATTTTGGACTTTATGTGGCTTTTTTGAATCAGTCTCAGATGATCAGTATTAGAGGCTTTTGGAAAGAGGTCAGAAGGGGGCAAGCAAGGAATGATTCTCCTCATTTTATTCTCTCAGGTCCTGTTAAGCAAACAATGCTGGACATAACCATATGAATCCACATTTTATCTGTCTCTGCTGGTGAAAAAGGAAAAGCACAACAGACATCAAGGAAAGCAGCACAGCCTCATCCCCAAGTTCGTGCTGCTGACTTATCAGCTTTTAAATTGCTGACAAATGATAAGCTCCTGTAATGATCTAGTTCAGAGGGTACCTTCTTGGAGAAACACAGGGATGCTCCTGGCAGGGTCATTACTGGGAGTCGTTAATCACTGATTTGATATTCAAAGCTGATGGCGAAGTCAAAGCAGGTCAGCATGCTAATGGCCATCAGCGGTGGCAACGACCAATTTCCACAGAATTATTGTCAGTGCAGGCAGCAATAAGCAGCTCAGAAGAGGCAATCTTTTATTTTTAAATGGGAGCCAGTATGGGGTGGGCTGTAGGGGCAGAATGAACTGCTGCCTGACAGGAGGCAGATTTGCTCCTAATTGGGAGAGGCTCTCAGTCAGGAGAGGTACGGCTGTAACTCCAGGGACAAGCAGCATTTCCCAGCTGAGACCATCTGCTGTCATTTTTGACAGAGGAATTAAACACGGTAATGTTTCTGGATAGCATGAGGGAGCTGGTGTGTGTCGAGGGCGAGCATTAGTTGGGAGTGAGTCTGGCCTAGGGACTGGAGAGCAGCCCTGCCCCGCTGTGGGAGATGGGCAGAGGTGTAACTTGTCCAGTTTAAAGGTGGAAAACAAATGCTAGGAGTGCTTAAAGTCATTGCTAGCCATTGGCTGGGAGAACACTGTCCAGGAAGAAAACAAGAATGTCCTTTTATATGTGCGGCTGTTTCTGGCAACCTTTAAGATGCTCCAGAAACAGCTAAGGCAGGTTTTGGTGTGTTTTCCCCTAGTCCCAAGTGCTGCTATGGAGGAATCATCTAGAACACAATTGCTGTGATCTGTTGGCTTGCCAATGTGGACAATTTGTTTTAATTTGTGTCCAATGATTTCCTGCTCTCTCAAAACAACTGAGTCATTTTTCCACGAATGTGATGTTTTTCAAGTATTTTGATATTTCACTTTCTGTTTCAAACATCTTAGTGAGTGGCTTTCCCTCAGAAGTTTTCATTTGCTTTCTTTGAAGGAGGTCACTGGTTCTCACTGGGAGCACAGCGGTGCTGCCTGGCCATGCTTCAGAGCAGTGATGGGTTCTCAGTCCTGTGCTCATGACTGTTGTGCTAATGGCTGTGAGAAATTGGAGCAAAAAGTCTGTATATGTCCTATGAATCTCCATGACTAATTCCATCTTGTTATCTCAAGACATTTTTCCTTGGAAAAGAGAGATTCCAGCATCATGATAGGCATGCTCATGATTCTGAATTATTGACTTGATATATGTGAATCTGAGAAATCTCGAAGTTATTCCTCTGCAAAAGCACATGTGGTGTGAGAACAATGGCTCTGGAAGTGGAGAGAGGAGGACAAGCATTGTTTTGATCACCCTGACCTTCACCAAAGGGGGGTTTCCATCTGGGAATGAGGCAGGAGCTTCCCCTCCCCATACTTCTCTGCCCTAGTGCCCAAGTGGCCTTTAGCTGGTGCAAGTTTTACTGAAGTGGACACACATGTACTAGGAATTGGACTTGAGAGCAGCAATTAATTTCACATATTACCTTTGCTGTCCCTGACTTGGACCAGATTTGAACTACTGACCTGGAGATGAAAGTCACCATAGTCCCCTAATAGCCCCTGAGGCAGGAGGGTGAGTTTCTTGCTGGCTAAGCTGAAAAACCCGTGGCCAGGCTGTTCCCTGCCTCCCTCAGGTTTAACCCTCTCCCAACCCTCTTCCTTCTCCCCACCTCCTGCAGCTCTCTGCCTGCTGGGCATGACCAGGATAAAAGGAAGAGCAATGAGAGCCATATGTGGAGCCTTTTAACCCCTCTGCTGTGGCCTGTGGTGGGCCTGGCTGGGGGTGAGTTGTGCAAATCCTGGGGTCCTCTGGGCTGCCTGAACTTCCAGACATGGCTTTCAGGGCACTGCATCCAGTGGAAATGTGTTTGCTGGGAGAGAATTGTGAGTGTTCAGGAGTAGAAGACTTGTAACTGGCACCCAGTTGTAGAGCACAAGGCTGCATCTGATTCCTTTAATCTTCATGTGATCCTTATGCATCTTTACCCTGCTCTGGTCCCCTGCATCTCCCCACTTGGTGAAAATGACTGGTGGGATGTACTGGAAAGCAAATTCCCAGCATCTCTGGTGCTGCAAACTTTTCCCATAACACCATCTACAATCCTCTTCCTGATGCAGACTAGGAAAACCCCTCTGACCTTGCATCTTTCAGACAAGATGCAAGATCATCCATTTTCCTGTCCTTCATGTTGCTGAGCCATAAACCTGAAACTCCAGAAGCTAGTCTAAGACTGACATGCCCTCGGGTGGGGAAGTAAATTGAGCGTGGTTAAGTTTCACTCTGTAGCCAAAGGTTTAGAGCTGAAGCTGTCTTGCCTCAAGGACCTTCAGAAACAGGGCTTGAAATGTATTTCTGAAAGGGGATTAGCCAGACCTGAAAGTATTCCTGAGCAGCTCCACCTGAACAGAGCAGGCAGGGAGTGCCTCATGTCTCACCTTATCTCTGCCCAGTCTCCTTGGATCGTTTTGATGTCCCAGGGCTCCTGGTCTGTGATGCCCTGACTGGGACCTAGGCTGGGTAAGGAGCAAAACAGAAAACTGTTCCCATCTGATGGCCAAGCACTCTGAATTATCAGTATCTTCCATCCTATTCCCAGCAATCTCCAGCAGTAGGGATGAGCAGTAACCCCTGGTGACTGTTCTTGTTCCCTCTTGCAGCAAAGGTGCTGCAATTTGGGCTGTGGCCCCAGTGAGAGCTGGACCTGCACAGTGCCAAGTCTTGTCCCTGTGGTTGCATGGAGGGAAGATGGGCTTATCTGAGGTGTGTTTTATGAAGCCTAAAATCCATGTGAGAGGAAGGAAAAGTGAACTACATGCTGGTAAAATATCCTGATTTGGTTCTGCCCACGAAGTGCTGTGGTCTGGTGAGCACCAAGAAGTGACAGGCGTGCTCTGGCAGCAGTGAGGTTTGTGCTGCAGAGAGCTCCCACCCTGGAATGCAAGGGATTTTATGGGCACTAATAAATTAAACCTCATGTGTTGACTCTAAAAATGTGGTGGTAATGAACCAGCCTGGATTTACAGATAAGGGGAGCAGGGCACAGAGTAATGTGCTCATTTCCCTGGGCTTGCAGGGCCTTCCAGCATTGTGGGTGGGATGACACCCAGGAGTCCATCTCTCCTGCACAATGGGCTTTCCTTCAGGCTCTTGCTCCTTGCCAAAATGCACCCAAATATTTCTTTCCAAAATCCTCCCTCTGATGATCATCTAGCAGTACGTGAGGTGCTTGTGAGTAGCCTTGGATAGGTTCCTCAGAAAAACATTCTCTGTCCAGGAATGCCTCAGCAGTGGAAAAAAAATCTTCTGGAAATCAGAAAAATGTTGACGACTCCATAGGTCCCACTGCCCCTGTTTTCCAGAGCTGTGGCTGCTTGGCCATCCCCCTTTGGAGGGCTGGCTGCCAGGTTAGTGACAGAGCTCCTGGGGAGGGGGAACACGTTTCTGCAGGTCCCGGGCTGAGGAGCGCGCAGGCAGGCGGGAGCTCTGCGAGCCTTCCACAGCTCCTCACCAGCTGACACGGAAACACAGGAGGCACCCTCTCCCCAGCTAATATTTTTTTTAATCTTAGTCCGCTCCCTGTTTCGCAGATGTCTTAGGGACCTTACTAAGTCTTGCATTCAGGCTCTTGGCCCTGATGAAGCAGAAGCTGCCTGCAGGCAGCTTTTGGACAGCTGGATGAAGATATCACTCATCAACCATCAGCCCTCTCCAGGTAACAAATCTTTTGCTCCTGCTTTGCAGGAATGTCTCAGTCACAGGCTCACACCTGAGGCTGTCAGCCTTCAAAGCCCCTCTCCTGGGCTGACCCCCTCCCTGCTCCTGGGACAAGGGGGGGTGAGTGGTGCACACACACGTGCTGCTCTGGGGCTTGGCCCTGTGAGCCTGAGCGGGCTCCAGTCCCAGCCAAGCAACTCCCAGTTCACCCAGGCCATTGGGGAAATCTCAGTGCAGGCCAAGAGGAATCTCATCCCTTAGGAAAGGAAAAAGCTTCTGCTTCCACATTGGAAAGGCTCATTGGGGTCCAGCACTGTCCCCCTCTATGAGCTGCTCTGCAACTCCCTGCAGACCCCTAATCCTTCCTGCCACCTCCCATCCACCCAGCTGGGATGTTCCATTCAACCCCCACTGCTGTATAATAATGATATTAATAATAAACACTTTAAACTAACCTTTTTGTCCCTCATGGTCAGAAAGTGAAACGGGAGAGCACAAGAAAGGATTTACGTGACCGTGAGAGATGTTAGTTCAGGAGGTTGGGCCTGGTCAGTGAATTAGTGCCCCTTAGTGTCTTGCTACAAGGAAGTGATGAGATGACAGCTCGGTCATCCTGCCGTCATATAGGAGAAAAATGAGTGTATTTGGAGTGGGACTGAAGGCTGGCAGTCCTGGGAGGGACCATGCCTTCCCTACACTACTGACAGTGGACACGGGGCTGTTCAGATACAGGTTTGGGGTTTTGGTCCACATTCAGTGAATTTTGGCTAGTGTGCCCCGAGGGATCAGGCAGGAAGGTCATGTTCCCCTTGTGTAACAGCATGATTGTGGTAACAAGGGGAGTATTTTGCCTTAGCAATCGTTTTGCAGAGGATGTGATGACCTTGTTCTGCTTCCTGGTTCTCCATAGGGCTTTTGTCTTGTGTCAAAAGCAAACTCTGAGTGCTGCATCTGCCTTGTGTGCTGGCCTGTGCATGGGGAATGGGGTCTTGGAAGCACTGTAATGTGTTTTTGCTAGGGAAGCCTCTCCTAGGACCAACAGGAAATATTTCTGCAGTCTTTGCCATGTGTCCCAAAGCATGAATTGCCTCCAGCACATGGTGAGGGTGCTGAAAATAGCAGCATCCAGACCTTCTTTGGGAAAAAAAAGTATATATATATATAAAGAAATGGACACATGGTAGGCAGCAGGAGAAAGGCAGTGATGGAGCCCTTCCAGGGAAAACAACTCTGTTGTGGGTCGTGGAGTAAACACAGATGTCTGGAATTGCAAGTAGCCGGAGGGAGCGGAGCAGAGCCATCGCGTGGTGCGCTGGAGAGGCTTTGCCTTAGGGGCAGGCTGGTGGATGCTGGCTGCAGGGTGAGACAGCAAATCCCTGCTGGGGAATGAGCTCTGGGAGAGCCATGGCAGCCCTGCCTGGGTCTCACCAGGTGTCCTGGCCTCTTGGCTGCCTGGGTGTGGGCTTTTCTGTTGGGGGAGGGATTCTATGGAACAGGAAAAAGCCATCAACTTGGCCAAAGTCGTTGCTGGGTGTTATCAGAGTGAAGAGTCAAGATCTGATCTCCCATGTGTCACTGGGCAATCCTACTTTTGCTCACAGCTTTAAACCACGAGAAAGAGGACCCTGAAAGTCAAATGCATTGTGGGTGAGAACTGGGAATGTGACCTGAGAGGGGAACAGAGAGGAACTATCCTTCCCAGACAAATCTGGGTCCTGCCACTGAGCTAACCTCTGCTGGAGGAAAAATTATTTGTTTCAGTTACTTAGATATGGAAAACAAAAGGAAGGAAAAAACAACAATTATTTAAAAAGAAAAATAACAAAGCTGTGACAAATAGCTGATCTTATTCTCTTCTGGGTGAGCAGTCTGGGAGGAGCACCATGATGAGCTGTAAAGGCATGGCATAGTTCTCCCTCCTCTGCTCTGTGATCTTCCAGCCCTGAGGGTCTGGCCAGCAGAATTCTGTCCATCACTTTTTAGGAATTCTCCATCACTATTTCTTGCATCTGTTGTAGTGACTGAAAAAGAAGGGAAAATAAATCTTGAAAAATACAGCTGAGGACTGTTACAAGGGCATCATCCTTTGGTTAGGCATGTACTTGGAGATATTTGAGCAAGATTTCCTTTTGAAGCTGCATTTGACTGTGTTTTTTAGGGAAGGGAAACCAGAGCTTCATCTGCAGAAGTGCTGTGCAATGAGACCTGGAGCAGCTCAGCTTCCTGCAGTGCAAATGGACCTGGATTCTGACCTCACCCGGGCTGCAGGCAGTTGCAGGAGGAATAAAAAATAAATCTGGGCTTGTTGCCATGAATAATATGATGTCTTTACATCCTGACCTAATTGTATTAATTCTTCATGGCAAATATCATATGGAAGTGGCTGATTAGTAGCTAGCAATGAGAGTGGTATTGGCCATCTGGTGTGCTCGGCTTGGAAGGAAAAAAAAAATCAGGATGAAACAAAACTGAAACACATGAGTCTTTCAGATAATGAATTAGCCAGATTCATTAGATTTTGGTTCAGATTTATCTCTGCTGACACTCGTGTACGGGCAGGGCACAAGGCAGTGGTGTCTAGGAGGAAAGTGATCCCTTCAAGCTGATGGTATGCAGTGAATTGTGGTTATTTTTCAAGTAAGAAACCATAAGAAACAATGGTGTCAGCTCTGTTTAACCTGAGCTACTCACAGATTTGCTTTCGTTAACCTTATGTTAAGTTTCTGTGAGCTTTACCCAGGGAGTGCAGCTCAAACATGAGCAAAATTAATTAAAATCAACCTGGTTTTTCTTCTGCGAGTAAAAGTGGAGTGGGAAACCAATTTTTTTCTTATGTCTTACCTTGGCAAAAGCATCTGAGCTTTGTCTGGCAAGGCAGTCACATAAATCCTGCCCTTTAAACTCTGCTCACCTCTGGCTGCACAGTGACAGGCAGCTCAGAAACAAAAAACCTGTCTGGGATTTTTCTCTTGTTGATTTTTTAACATTTTTTTTTTCCTTTCCCTGCAGCCCTGGGAAAAGGTGGTGTGATGGAAGGGCACTCTGTGCTGACCTGAGGAATGCTGCAGCTTCTCCTGGGGTTTGACAGTGAAAGTCTCCCATGAGATCTCCTGAGACTGAGGTGTGCACATGTACTGAGTGAGATTTGGCTTCACACACCAAGATACTGGGACTTTTGCTGAAGAATTTTTTTGTTGTTGTTGTTGGAATTAGCCAGGAGGATCCCATCTTAGTTTGGAAAACAGGGTGGGAAGGTTGAAATGAGTACTCAAGGGCTCCAGGGGGATGACAAAGTGTCCGGGTTCCTTGGCTGGGTGGGGAGAGCAGCCAGGGAACCTGGGGTTGCGTCAGAGGTTTCCATCTGTGTAAGGGTTGTCCAGAGGTGAGCTTGAACTCACTCTTTGGCCAAATGTCCTTGCTGGACTGGTCACTGAAAGGCCTGGGTGTGCCAAAAGTTTGCTGTGCTCTGCAATGCTTCCTCCTGGAAGGCTTTGGGGAAAAAAGCTTAATTTATTTTTGTTACCAGGGAATTTCCTGCACTGCACCTGTGTGGGCTGCAAACAAGTGAGTAGTGGCAAGGTTGTTTGGGTACCAGGGTGCTGGAAGGGGAGGAAAGGGGATGAGACCTCTTGGCTCAGACTCCAGAGACCTTGCCTGTATGTTTCAAGGCCAGAACTCTGCTAATCACATGCTAAATCTCTGGAATCAAGGAGCTCTTGAAGGCAACATTAAGGGTGGTAGAAAGGGGTGGATACATTACACAAGCAATTGAATTTGAAATACTATTCAAAGACTATGAATTGCACTATGAATTGGCAGGAGAGCCCTGATCCCTTGGTGCCAGGTATGGTTACAGGGAGGAGCTGTGTGCCTTTGTCTTAATTCCATGTTTATTATGGACCTAATGAGCTCTGGTTTTGCTTTTAATTTAAGCCAGCCCTTCTTCCCCGCCTCTCCCCGATAATTAATGATCAACACCATAATCCATCCAGACAAGGAGTACTCTATAACTGTGGCCTTTTTAACAGGCTCTTTATGAAACATTCTTACTGGATAAACGAGCTGGGGAGAGGCTGCTGGGGGTAATATATTTCCCAAACACTCCAGAGTTGCCAAAGCTCTGGACCAAAGTATGTGTGCTCAGAGCTGTGAGAGTCATTTGTCAGTGGCTTTACTGACAGATGCTCCTAAATGTGTGTGCCTTTCTCTGAGGGATGAGTCATGGGCTGCTGAGAGCAGCAAGAGGTTCCAGAGTAACTTTGAGCAGTAGATGGACATGATTATTGCAAGAAGACCTAAATTTGGGATACTCTTGGAGGAGCCAGGCTCCTGGGATGCAGCCATTACCTTGCCTTGCCTTTTAAAGATTTGACTTCATGATGTTAAAGGTCTTTTCCAACTTCAATGATTCTATTTAGGCAGGTGCTGGAGGATCCAGCCTGATGATGTTGCAGGATAAAGGCTGATGTGCTGTGGACTAGGACATCCCCTTCCCAGGAGGAAGGACCTTCCCAGTCCTGCTCCAACTCCAGTCTTTCCCTGGATTTATTTCAATTATGATTTAAATAATGGATTTCAGACTTCTGTAGATACTAGAGCTGGTTCCAGGGAAATATTTCATAGCTGTGGCTGCTGATAGAGAGCTGGGAATGGTGACCCCAGTATGTCTCACTGGGACTGCAGGATTTGTTCTCCAAGGTGCAGGGCTGCTGCTGGAAATCATGCAGTTGGGCACTCAAGGGTGGCTGCTGTCAGCTAAGAGTTGGAGTGAGACTTTCCTTTTTATTTTACTTAAAGACACAGATGGGAATCACTCTTGACCATTCACGAAATCTGTCTGGGTTTGGAGCCGGTGACCTGCAGGTCAGAGGCTTTGTGCCCTTTACAGTCCCTGGAGCTGAGGACATTGAACTGCAGCCACACCTGTTTTTCAGGGACTGCTGCTTTGGGAGCCCAGTGTTCAGCTGCTGAGTGTCCCCTCCTTGTTACACTGCAGCTTTTCACGCTGCCTTTTTTTGAGGCTAACAAAAAGTGGGATGGAGACCAGCAAGCCATGTGACTTTTGATGCATCAGAGCAGGTTCTTTCCTCCCTCACCTTCTTCCCAAATTGTTGTGGCTTGTGTAAAGCTCTGCCTAATGGTGAATCAACCCATCACCTCCTGCAGTCCCTCTCAGAGAGCATGTCATGAAATGCAGACCATGGATCCTCTCCCTTTCCTGCCAGTCTTTTCCTTGTGTAGCTCCTATCCATGGACCTGTGGTTTCATGCCCTGAGGAAGCATCTTGGTGATGCCATCCCCAAAGGGGGATGGTCAGTGAGGCCAAACTCGTATGTAATTCCATTTTTTGGCTGGATAGTGTGATGTAGTGACCAGTAGGTGACTGTGTCCACACTGCTGCTTCCAGCAGCTCTAGGATCACTGCTTCCCAGAGAAGTGGCTCTTTATTTCTCCTATGGTCTCCTGGTGTTTGTTCATTACTAATCTAAAAATAAACAGCATCTTGCTTAGAAGCAAGTCTTTGCCAGCTGATTATGTGGAACCTAAAATATACTGAACTCTGATTCATCAGGGCATGATAAGATTTGATCCTTTTATAACTGGTATGTGGAGGACTGCTTTATAAATAATAATATCACGTGATTGATATGACACAGAAGTTGTAATTAATAGCAACATCCCATGTGATGGGAAGGGTGAATGCAGGCAGACACCTTTCCCACCCTATTTGAAACATGTTGAGGCAATAAAGCAAGTGTTAAAAATACACCTAGCACAGCACTGCATTTAACAACTGCTACAGAATGAACCACAAATAAAAATACAAGCTTGCATTGATGAAAAAATTGGGATAATGATGATAAACAAGTGACCTCAGCTGCAATGGATGGCACTGTGCAAATACACATAATTATGCAAGTGATTTGCTTAGCATTAATGATGTCTGTTATGAGGTAAAATCAACCTGGAGCACTGTGGGAAGGTCTGTGCAAAGCAAAACAGGGCCAGCACTTGCTCACTTGATTTAGAGCTTCACTAAGCTTTTGGATAGTCTCTGCTCAACCTCTGGGGCTTTGGAATGGTTTCTGCTACCTGCATTTTCCACATGTTTGCTGAGACCAAGGCAGAGAGAGCTCCCACCTCCAGGGATCACCAGACTATGCAAATATACACTTGCAACCACCTCATACCAACCTCAATATATGTTTGTTCATTTGTTCCAGTGTTAGCAGGACCCAAATGTATTGTTTTCAAAACATCCTTGCTGCTCTCCAGCAGTTTTACTGCTTCCAAATCTGCTCTGTGCCCCTGCTCAGCAGTAGGTAGTTATTTAAAACAATACATTTCTCTTCTGTGCAGTGCCTTCTCAGAGGTCTTGGCTTGTTCAGGCTTTAACTAGGCTTTAGCATGCAAATTTAATATATCATTGTGGCATACTGAGGAATAATTAATATAGAGGGGTTACTTGTAAATTGGTGCTGGGGACAGATTTGTGAGGCCAACCCCAGCAGTGGTTTTCTTTAAACGCTCACGCTGATGACGGGTTTGATGTGAGAGTGTCAAGTGACATTTACTAGTGGGAGGAGGCCAGGAGTATTTATATTTTGGATGTGTGTGGTGGGAAGTTTTTTTTTTGGTTTTTTTCTCCCCTCTTCACTTTTTTCTATTCCCAGATTTTGCAGCTGTGATTTGATTTACACGAAGCAAAGTTGCAAGTTTCCAGCGTTCCTTGGGGACCAGAATGGCAATTCCAGCAACACCCAGGGAAAGGGCCTGGGGTATTTCACGTGTGACCTGAAGGCAGATGAACTTATCAAACCTTGGCTAAGATGTGGAAAATATTGATGTATCTGCTATAGCATGGAACCTCTGTTAAACTTATCACAGAGGGATGGAAATATTTTGGGGGTGCAAGAGTCAGCTCTTTTGCTGTCCACAAAAGCTGGCTGACCCTTGTTCACTGCAGTCCCCTTCTGGAAGCACAGAGCAAAATATTTAGGAATTATTTGCAAAATGCAAAAAAAATATTTGGAAAGCTGCAAAATCCCTTTTAAACCTCAAAGAGGAGGGAAGCCCTCCTGTTTTGGGATGCAAACTGGTTTGTTACAGAAAGGGATTGGGAACAAACCTTCCCTGAAACAGCTGGGGTTGATCCCCATCAGAGTCAGGGTGCAGGACCAGATGGTCAGCTCTCCTGTGACAATTCTATTTTTCATTTACATGAAAACACACTTTTAGTCAGGAAAAAAAAAATGTAGCCAATTCTGCTGTGAAGAAATATAACAAAAATGAAAAACCTCTATTCTGAGAAGCTTCCTGCCTGTTTGAATGCTGTATCAATAGGAATATCAAATGAGGAGTAAGAAGATCAAGAAAGGGAAAGCATCAGCTCTTTTTTGGCTTTAAGGGACCAGCAGAAATACAGAGAAAAATTGCTGGTAGTTGATATATTGACCGGTTTTCATTATAACTTCAGTGTTTCTTTCAGCTGAAAGAGAAGATATGATATGTCTTGATTAAATGAAATGTCATCTCAGTATTGAATTAATTACATAGAACATGGGCAAGGACTTGGTATTGTATTAATTTGGCTGCTCTGGAGAAAACATCAATAGGCTGTTTGTGGATGACAGCTTCATATTCTGTCAGCTTCTGCCTAGGATCTCACAGCTCTTTGCAAGTTCTGGTGTGTTAAGCTTGGTAGAGGCAGTGAAATTATTAAAATTTCCCTTTTGTACAAGCTAGAGCAGCACTAAGAAAACTTTCAGGCTTTTCCTCTGCAGTTCAAAGCAATGGGAGCTTGTTACACAGAGTTGTGGAGGACTGGACCCTAAATAAGCCACTGAAAGCCTTTCTGGTCCCTACCAACTTGCAAAGGATTGGCCTCAGAGATGGAAAGACTAGACCAGATTTCCATGTTATTCAGTACTGCAGTTTTTAAATGAATGTTGAGTTGTTCCCTGCCTGGTGGCTGATTAAGAGCCGGCCACAGCCAGGGGTTGGCAAAGAGCAACGTTGGTTTTACAAGCAGAGATTGACTCAAGTGAGTTGTCACAGTCTGCTTTTCTGGGAAAAGGCAATTATAACTCAGGAAGTTCTGATGTGAAAATTATTTTGGCAGATATGCTCTTTTTAAAATAGTTTATGCATGCAAAAGCAATAGTGAAGATAAGGTGATGGGAAAGGTGAATCAAAGCAAAAATCTCTTTGTGTGGGGTCATGTTTTGTTTCAGAGATGTGCTCAAAGAAAATTTCAAGGTATTCCTTTGATTTGCCATAACGTTTAATAGGTCATTTCAGGCTCAAGGAGAGGATTCTTGTAACTCTGTAGAAGGGCTTAAAACATGTCTTTATGAAAGACCCCATGGGCAGAGATACAACGACAGCTCTACCCACAATATCCCAGCCTGATTTGGGTTACACCTGGGGCAAGGCAGGATAATAGTGGTGGTTCACTGCCTGCTCCAAGCCCTCACCCTCCCATGGAGATGGCCAAAAAGGTTCTGTTTCATATCAAGGTGCAGAGCTCTCCCTCCCAGGTAGTGTCTCAAGTCACCATCGGCGTTACTGGCAGTCGCTGTGGGAGGTTTTACAGCACAGACGTAGTTTTATGGTTATTATTTATTTTTATGGTTCATTGGATCAAGGCCCCCAATTTGCTTCATAGCTCTCCAACATCAACAATTATCAGGCAGCTGCTAATTGGGGCTGGATCAGAAAACCAGCAGCCTCCTGTCACTGAAAATCTGCGTGGGTGACATTTCTGACACCTCCAAAATCAAGGGCAACGAGCCCAGCGACACTGAGGGAGCCAGGAACACATCCTGCTCTCCTATACCCATCTCCAGCGACAGCCTGCAAACTCAGAATGAAACCTGATTTCCACGCTGATAAAAGCTAATGAAGCGTGGAGGAGCATCATTAAGCCATAAGCAGTTTTTGCTTTAGAGACTGGATGCAAGGAAGGCTTCTTTGGGTTTTTTGGCTTTTTTTGTTAGGGGTTGTGTAAGTGACTGTTCTAGAGAATTCAGCCTTTGGATAAGGATGAGAGAAAAGGAAAGACAGTCAAAAGATAAGGGGAGAAGAAGGAATGGCAGCATTCTTAGAAGAAAAAGGGTAAAGGGATTAACTTTTTGGACAACATTTCTTAAATTTCAAATCCCTGCAAAAGTAGGAAAAAATGGAAAATAAAATGTAGACTAGTCATAGTTTGGTTCCAAACCTCTACCCCCTCAATGACAAAAAAAAAGGTCAGACATAATTTTTGGTCTCAAAACTTTAAGACTTTTAACTTCTGGTTGAGTTTAAGCCTTTAAGTGAAGTTAACCTTTTAAGCTAAATTTAATTTTCTATCCATTTCTATGAGACAAAATCTTAAAAAAATAGCATTTTGCACCTGCTCTAACAGTGGCAGAGACCAAAGTGTGCTCCATGATCCTTGCTGTCCTTGCTGCCACCTGTCCCATGGCTTCCAGGTGGCAGATCCTGCAAACCTCGTGACAGCTGTAGCGTAGGAGGGGCAGGAGTTGGATACATCCAACCTGTTTATTCCGCAGGCTTGGATGGCAGGTCACGGGCATTTCTTTGAGCTGAGCAAACAACTGACATATGTGCACTGAGAACAATTAAAAAATGTGCTTTGGATAGATTTTAAATAATAAGACACTGATGTTTTGTGCTGTTTTCTTCTGAGAAACCACTAAACCTGTCATGCTCTGCTCACATGCCGTGCAGGGAAGTTGTAACTCCCCACCAAGCTGATTCCCCAGCCCTGTATTTCACCTTCCTTTTGATGGGTCTATCATTTAAAGCCTTCAGATAATAGGCCATTATTCTCAGAGTTGCTATTATATTTTATTAACAGGAAGGGGGGGAGTTATTGTCACAAACTCTGGAAGATTTGTGCTTGGAGCACTCAGAAAGGGCAATTCATTCCACTGCCTTGCTTGATGGACGTAGATCTCATCTCTCCCTGCTTTTCCAGGTCCTACCAGCCTTTGTGAGTTGTGGGGATGGATTCTGTCCCAGGCTGGTGGCAGCACCAGGAGTTTGGTCTCCCAGGAATTGTCCACTGCCAGCTGCAGTGGTGGGTGACAGGGATGGAGGCTGGGTTAGTGCTGGTGGCTGCAGCCCAGAGCAGCTGAGTTCTCCTCTCACATCTGTGCGTGTGGGTGTGTGTACATGTACAGACAGCCAGAACAAGTCTGTTCCTGTTTGGGAGATCAGTGTCAAAAGTGGATTTTGTAAGAGCTGGCCAGGCTCCTGTTTCCACATTACTAACCAAAAGCAGTTAGATGGTTTTTTGGGTGCCTCTGCTGTCCCGAATCACTGCATGGCTGTGCCTCTCTTTAGAAAAGGGAAGGATGTGCCGCAGAGCCTCTGAGGAGGTATGTCAGCAGCTCATACCAGTTTGGTAGGGCTGGGCATCACATAAGAGGGTGGCCAAGGTGTGACTGCAGCAAGCAGGGAAGGAAAAACCTGTGCTGGGGGGTAGGGACCAGCTTGCAGGAAGGTTTCTGCTCCCCTGGTGCTTACAAGAAAGGGATGAGTACAGACATGTTGGATCCAGCTGTGTCTCTCCCTTTGTGGCTGTACAAATTGTACTTTCTCCAGCCTTCCAGAAACATAGGACAAGGATGAGGTGTTTTTTTTTACCCTGAAGTGCCTGAACACCTGAGGCTGAAAATCCTCTCTTCTGCCTCCCCTTTTTCTCCTTCCTTCATTATCCATGGTGGGGACTCAGCTGCTGATTGCAGTGTCCTGCATGTGTCCATCATTGCCCAGTGAAAAGCATCTTCTGGGGATGTTTTAAGCACCATTATACAGCTGGGATGGGGAAAGAAGTAAGGTGTGGTGGATGAAAGTGCCTTTGTGGCTGGTCTGCCTCTGCTAGCAGCAGGAGGAGGGGGAAGGAAGGGGAACACGACTTGCTCCAGTCTGCATTAACCCATCCTGCTGCCTCTGGAGTTGTAGCATCTGGGGAGAGGGGGACACAAACAGCGAGAGCTGGCCCTGAGGGGAAATAAGACACCTGTGGTGGGAATCAGCTTTTAGTTACTAGCCATTGCCTGACTGGTTTGGGTTTTTTCTTGTCTTTGACACATTTTTCTCCAGCTTGCTTTTCTGTCAGACCCAGAACAAATGGTGTTTAATTTGCAGATACAGCCCACAGCTGGGATAAATGTACACATTCCTGCACCTTTGACTAGCTTTAGGTATTTGTCTGGGGGAGCAAAAGTGCTTACATATTCTTGGATAAAGGGTCGTGCATTTTATGCAAAGGAGGAGTATAAATTCATAGCTACCTATTTCAGCATTAGCAGCTGGTCTTACTAGACTTGTTTGGATCCCTAATGGTCTGTTGCAGTCACCAAGGTGCTGGTTTAGAGTCTGAAACAGGATGCTGCAGTCTGTTCTGTGGCAGCAGGAGCACAGGTGGGCTGTAAAAATCCCCCATGGCCAAGCTCTGGGGTGGTGGGTGCTGGAAAATTGCTGTCCCTGCACCCAGTCCATGCTCTGAGCTAAGGGGGTGGTTCTGCCTTTCCCTTGTGGTGAAGTGGTGGTATCACCATCCCTGGAAGGGGGCAAAAACCATGTAGATGTGGTGCTTGGGAATGTGGGTGAGTGGTGAATGTGGCAGCGCTGGGATAATGGTTGGACTTGATGATCCTGGAGGTCTTTTCCAGCCTAAATGGTTCCATGATTATTTGTGCAAAGGCTTCACTGCCATAAACCAGCACTGACACATTGATATCCAGTGTGGAAGGATTTGAAGATGATCTTTCCTAGAAGAAACACTCCAAAACATCATTGCTGATGGAGATGGAAATAGAAATGGGATTTCTTGGCTCCCTGTTCAATCTGCAACAAACAGATTCAACCGTTGAAAGAAATCATTTGGGAAGTCACTGGGTGCTTTGATATTTTAGCTGTTCATTTTCAGTGATTTTTTTGTCATTCTTTTAAATCATGAACTTCAAAAATTCCTGGTTGGCTATGAACAGCATTGTCTGGCTTTCAAAGCTGCTGAGCTGTTAAGAACATTTTAAAAATTAGAATGAGGGCTTTGGATGCCCAAATATATCATCAGGAGCCTAGTTTTAATCACTTGGGTTTGCATATTTTGTTTTTATTATCTGCACCTTTAAGATAGAAAAACAAATACAATTGCTGCTCATCAATATCATTAATCCAAGCAATTTGAAGTTAGTTTATTTTGTTATGAATTAGTCAATTAATTCTGTTTGTTAATTGACTCTGTTGCAAAATATCAGGCTAAAGAAATTTTCTGTACATTAACACAATAAATCTTAATTTGTTACTGCTGTTTTCTTTGTAACCCACAGCCAGCAGAAATCAGATTCATTTATTTTTTCCATTTTCTCTGGTTAAGTCCAATTCTTATGTAGTTTCTTCTGTATCTCTGCTGATTCTTCAATTTTTAAGATCCCATCACTTCTGGGGATGAGGTTCAAAAGGTCTTTGGGGAGAGCTGGTTTGTATCCTGAACTCAGGAGTAAGTGTTGCAGGTCCCAATTTGAAAAAAGGAGCTGCTGATGCTAATTATTTTTGTTGCTTGTTTATCTTTTTATAGTTCCTACAATCCAATTAAAGTCATTGCTGTTCCTTGCAGGTGGCATGGATCTTCATTTGGATTTCAGGAGACATGAACAACAGCAGCCTGTGAAGACAACGCTTCTGTGAAGGGTAAACTCACTTTTAAAGTTCACCATGAAATTCACTTTTGTTCCAAAAAATAGAATGAAAAGAAATGCAGATACTACGGAGCAATCACAAGCCTCCAGCAGTGAAGATTTAAGATGGTAAATATTATAAAGCTTTTAATAATCCTTATATCATGACTCTGTTTTAATGATATTGAATGAATTTGGTCTTGAATTACCAATAATTTCTGAGAAAGCTGTCAAGAGAAAGCACATCTAAAACTGTGCTTAAAAAAACCCCAAAAACAAAACGTTCTCTAGAAAAAATACATTTAAAAAAGAAAAGAATCACCATCCACTTTCAAATGGTTCCCTGAGAAAACTATCTTTAAATGGCTGAGGGCAATTGGTATAATGATTTAAAGCTGGGCTGGAGAGTTGCAGGCTGCATGTGGGTCCTAGCAGTGAAATGAGAGGTAATGTGGAGGCTGAGCTGAGAGGCAGAGATTGCTCTAATGAAAGGCGTCACGGTGACACTGCATGAACTTAATATTTAGCCAGTGACGTCTGCACTCCACAAGAACCCAAGGGAGGCAATTAGGAGAGCTGGGGAAGGAGGGAATAATTTTACCTGTCAGGTTTGTAAGTGGGCAGCTCTGTGAGTGTGTGTGAATACTTGTGTGTGTGTGTGAAAGATCCAGAAACTAATGAAATAGAGAGGCTTGGCAGGGACTGTCGAGCCTGTGGTTAGAGGTGGGGAAAGAGCTGTTTCCAAACCCACAAGATTTATTTCTGGAGCTGGTGGGTAGGTGGGAGTCAGAGTTAGCAGGCTTTACCCTTCAGGGCTTTCATCTGCTTTAAATTCAGTTGAAAATATTGCTAATTGTAGCAGCAAGCAGGCAGTGTACCCATGTACATAATACAGGTGACTTCTTTTTATTTAAAATTTTTTCTCTGATTGTTTTTTTCGCCTCTTTGGCTTCTCAGGGTGTGACTAAGGAGCCATAGATAGAGAAGTCTCCAAATTCAGTGCTTGCAGCTCACAGGCCTCCCAGTGGTGCAGCACTGCCCAGAATTAACCTGGCAAACCAGAGCTTTCCTTTGGGGATGGAAAATGGAATGGTGCTAAGCTGGTGTTAAGAGCTGTACAGAAATGGTCCTTGCTCCAGGAGCTCGCTGATAGCAGCACTGGTGAAGTGCATGCATGGTCCTGTGCTCACAGGAAGGTTTGGCTAAAGACTGATCTCAGCTTTGTGATCAGTGTGGTCTTCAGAGAGTGAAGAACCCCAGATCTTTCATCTCATTGCTTTTAGGAGTTGTGGGTTTACAGTATTTTATATCCAATGCAGATAAAGCTGATGAGTGTCACCAGAACTCCAAATCCAGGGTACTTTTATTGTCAAGTTCTTAATGATTTTCCATTTGGATGAGTGGGGATGATATTTTTTCTCTTTTATTTTATTTTTCCTCCCTCCCCAGACAAACCCTTCACCCTATTTCAGTGCTTCCTTGAGGCACATCTATGTTCCTGGCTGTGGAAGGAGCCAGTGGGGACAGGACCGTGGACATAAACAAGATTTCAAGCAGCCTGAACCATCTGAGGTCCCTCCCTGATTGTTTTTAGGACAAACCCCTACTGCAGGCACTGGGAGGAATTTCAAATAAGTGGCCAAACATCTCAGGAACTTGGTTCTGGTGCCCTGGATCAACCAGCAGTGATGGGTAAGATGTCATTGCTTCTCCTCAGTGTCCCCATGGGCACCTGCCCTACCTCTGGCAGAAATTATTGGCCAAAACCAGTTCAGAGAATCAGAGAATATCCCCAGTTGGAAGGGACCCACAAGCTGCTGGTGTGAATAGATGGATCAAGGCTGCAGCAAAGCAAATTTATCATCAAGCAGTGCTTTGAGCTAACAGAGTCACACTTCTGTGACTCCAAGGCAGTTATTTTGGGGGGAATATATATGAACTAGGGCTTAAATACTTGGCTTGAGCTGAGGGCAGAGAAGACGCCTCACTTAGCCTGAGGAATGCTTTTGACAGAGACACGTTGTCGCCACATCTCTTGGCTGGGAATAAGTTGTACCTTTCCTGCAAATGGAAATATTTCTCTGAAGTTCAACAGCTGCAGGAACAGCAGCTTGTCTCTTGATCACGTTTTCAGTTTTAAAACCCATTTCTAGTCCAGCACCGAGGAGAAAACCCAAGGCTCATTCAAATGAGCTTTTTAATGGAAAAAGTCACATTAAATCTAAACCAATTTCATGATCTTGTCTGAATCATAACTTTTTAAAGACTCAGGGCTGAGGCTGCAGTTAACATTGCCTTAGCAATGCTTAGTACTTATCTGTGAGTAGGAAGGTAATGGTGGGGAAGGGCTTGTGGTGTTATTTTTCTCAGGGCCTGATCATTTAGCTATCTAATTTGGGAAGCAGGACTATCTCTGGCTGACTCTTATCACCCCTTTCAGCGAGGCAGATAGCAGCCAGCACATTACTCAGCGTTACCCCATGGATATCTGGTGTCTGAGTATGTGTTACAAAACGTGGCAGCAGAACAGTGAAGCCTCTCAGTGCTGGGCACAGAGAAGTGGCTTCAGCCCCACATGGTAAGAGGTGGATGGATTTGTCCTCCGGACTTGTCCTCAGAGAGACCCTCAGTGGCTCTGCTCTGTTGTCACTCAATTATTTACTTCTCCTGGGGATTGAAGGATGGGGAAAGGATACGCTGTGATATAGGAAACTTTCCTAACTCGCCTTATAACTGCAATAATAATATGGGCAACTTTATTTATAGTTAGAGAAGGACTTTCATTTTTTCCTATCTCCTGCTGTCTCCTCCCTGACAGCTGGTTGTGAGGCACCAGGGAGAGATTTAACCTCTTACTGGTACTTTGCAGCTTTGTGTTCCCTACAGGGAACTTCTGTGTAGCTTCTGTGGGATTTTTTTTTTTTAATTTCTGTTTTGCAGATGGAAAATAGAGGTGTTTGTAGGAAGTCTTCTGACTTGAAACAAAGCCCTCAAACCACTCCAAAATAACTTACCAAGTTCTCTCCATGCCTTCTGGTGGATCTTACAGATTTTCAGATGCTTGTGATGTATAAAAGTGAAAATGGTCACTGCAGAGTTTGGAAGGCCTGTGGAGAGCCATGGGTAGAGCCACGAGGCTGGGTTGGTAGGAAGAAGGGCCAGGTTGGCTCACTGTGATATGACACATCCCACCCTGAGCAGGGTGACTGAGAAGCACCTGAGGCTTTATTTTGTCACCCTCAAATGTGTCCCAGTGCAAACTGTCCCTTTAACAGGAGCCCACTGGTATGTGTGTGGAGGGGAGCAGAGACAGAAAGGAAGTAATATTGAGTCACAGCAGTCAAGAAAGATCAAAGATTGGCTATTTTTGACACACAAAAGGGTAAGTGATGCTGAACTCTCTCTAGACTGATTCCAGCTGAACACAAAGCATTTTAACCTCTTAATCCTCACTTCTGAGTTATAGCCCCAGCACTGAGGGCTTTGTGGCTTTTTGGAGATTCTCTGCTGCGTGTGACCCTCGTCCCAAGCAAATAACGCACGCCCCTGGCTGCTGCACAGCATGTGTTGAGTGTTGAGCATGGTGTTAATCCTGCAAACTCTGGTTTTTTGCCTCCCTCACTGACCATAAGTGGAATTAATGGGAATTCTTACCGAGAAAAGCAATCAGGTTGGATGAGGCTTGGAGCAACCTGGTCCAGTGGAAAGTGCCTCTGCCCATGGCAGAGAGGCTGTAACAAGATGATCTTTGAGGTCATTTCCAATCCAAACCATTTGCTGTGATCTATGAACTGTGGATGCAGTATCTCATTTCCCTTTTTGGTTTGTGGAAGCAGAACCCCCAGTTTTACCTCACTGTCCTGAGGATTTCCCTAACCTCTCTGACCTTCCCTTCAGAGAAGCTGTTCCTGGGCTCTCCTCTGTCATCTTCCCACCTTGGCCACTCAGACATCCCCTCTCCAAATCCTGAAAGGTTCCTCTGTGCTTCCCAGCACATGGACTGGTGTTCTCTACGAGTCCACATCCACTGACTGTAGATATGAAAGCACTGTTTTGGTTTGAGCCTTGTTTGTATTATTTTTGGTTTGCATATTTGGGCTTGACATAAAACCCAGCAGAGAGACTCTTACTTAGCCAAGGCCATTTCTGCATTCACTGCAGATGAGTGTGGTGCTCCAGGGAACCAGTTTTATTCCAGGCTTTGCCAGTGATTCATTTCTGGATGCTGCCTGCGTGATTCCCTCTGGGCCTCAGTTTCCTGTTCTGTAAAATAGAGATAATACCCTTTCATGGCACAGGGCTGCTTTGAAGCCTTTACAAAATTACTCTGATGTGTTTGGATGAAAGTTTCTATAAAGCATATTTAAAAAAGCATGCAGCTCTCATTGAGGGATTTGTATAGAGTGATCAGGACTCCAGAATTACTTCCCAGGATGAATGTGTCTGTGTTGAACCCCCAGACAATGCTGAACGCTGAAACAATATTCATGTAACTCTTCTAAAAGCATCCACTGTTGGTGCCCATGGCAGGGTTTGCTGCTATTCATTCTTTTTGTTTATTTTATGTAAATCCTTTTTCCTTGTTTATTTTATGTAAATCCTTTTTCCTTATTGAAAACACAAACAAGAAAACGGATAACCAAAAATTTTTTTTTTTTCTCTGTAAGTCCCATAAAATTGATTCATCTTGAAGAAGTTTTTAGCAGGACCAACCCTCTCTGCCTATCTGTGTGATTTTAAAAGAAACTCTCCTCTTTCTCCTGTCATATTAAGCCTGCCCTTCTAACCTGAAGGCCTCGGCTGTTCTCTTCTCCCCTTTTTGGTGTTTCCCATCCCACTTTCTCAGCAGATGTTGTGTGGGGCAGCACAGGCTGTAAAGGAATGAGTTTCTTTTCACCTGGCCATGTGAATGGGCTGGCACAGAAACCCTGGCTTATTCTCTCAGACTCTGGCAACAGCTTACACAGAAAGAGATTGTTTCGAAGAGCTGTCTCTTTTCTTTCTTTTTTTTTTTTTTTTTAGACCAAGACAGGGAAAAAAGGCTGTGAGATGCTGGCTGTATTTTAAGCTTCCTCCTTGGGTGCCAAAGGAGTCCTTGGAGTTTTGTTGCTGCTACTTTTGTTCCTTTTATAGTTTCCATTCAAGCCCCAGGCTTTCAGCTTCCCTTTGTCTTAGTCCTACTTTTCCCAAGCATTTGACATGAGAATTAGTTCAGAAAGATGGTGGAGGTTCATCCAGGAGCATTGCCCCATTTTAGTCCAGGGCTGTAGTCTTTGACTCTTTGGTAGAAATTTGGAAGAGAGTGACATTTCCCATGCTTCTGCAGGGAAAATATTTAGTTTCAGATGAGCTCTGTCTCAAAACAAGTGACAACAGTGTGCAAAAATGCACAAATTCAATGCTAATGTTGAGTAGAGGCACCTTTACAGTGGAAGAAATAGGGGGTGTGAGTTTTCACCTTTTCTCCCTTTTTTTTGGCTCCCTGTTTATCTGTTTAATGTGGCTGATTGTTTTCTGTAGCCTGCTCTCTCTCCCTTACCAGGACCTTGGGCATCTTAGACTTGGTCAATTGAAGCACACCAGAAAGAGATATTCCCTCCCTTGTGTGGATGTCTTTGCATGGCACCTTCAGAGCACTGACACTTATCCAGCTCACTTTTGGCCATGTCTCTGTGCTCTGAGCCCAGCTCATTCTATCTACACTTTCCATATATTCAGGAGCAAATTATGAACACGGCTTGTGAATAATTTGATTGCCGGCGTGAGAAATGCACACGCTGCTGATCCTGAGAAATGGAGCTGTCGTTTACTGATTTAATGAGTAAATAACGACTTATTCTGAAATACTGTAGGGATATTATGCCAGTGGTTCTCTTTGGGTCTTTATACACATTTTAACTCCAGTCAGTTTTTTGTTGTGTGTGTGTGTGGTTTTTTAAAAATCTGAAGTTTATTTTTGCAGTGGTGCTTGGAAAGCTGTAAATGATCCACAAGGAATTAACAGACAAAAGTCTCTGGCTCTGCTCCACCCTATTGAAGTTGATGGCAAAACTCCCATTGAATTCAGTGGAAGTAACAACTAGGTCTTGTGAGAGTAAACAATAAATCAGTTTTATAATCACAATATTTCTTTACGTCCTGTTCTTAAGTGTTTTATGTGGCAGAAGTGTTAGGTGCTTGTATGATGATGAAAGGCACAGACAAATCATGAACATCTCAGGTGAAATACAGGCTTGTGAAGGTGAAATTTCTAAGTTTGAAAGCTTTGGGTAGGCTTCACCTTTCAGGCAGTATTTTGGAAATCTGCACTCCAATTCTGTTAATGAGAATTCATTGTGAGAGAATTCGATGTGAGAGGTTGAACTGCCTCTCCATCCATCATGTAGCCAGCAGGTGTAGGACAACATTTCCCCTTTCCAGTTTGTAAAAGGTGCAGTTTTTAGAGACATGGGAGTGTAAGAATCAGCAAATTGATTCTCCTGCCTGGACAAGTGGACATGTCACAAATCCCATTAAAAAACTAATCAGGAGGAGATGGATCATCTCTTGTCAGGTATCCTGCAAATGTGGTGCCTGTGGTTAGAAGTTTGCAGAAGCTTTTATCCCTGTGTCTGCTCTGGCACATCTCAGCATTAAAACTATTCTATTAAATAATAGGAAGGTATAAATAGCTCAGAGGTTTAGTTCTTATTCAGCCTGTTCTGTCAGTGAACTCCAAATTATTTGATTAAGGAAATAAATACCAGTATCTTACATTTTGCACGGGGGAACCCACAAATCCATGGCATGGCCAGATATTCAAGGATGGAGTTCAGTCTTTTCCTAAGTCCTAGTCTAGCATCTTATCCCCTGCCTTTTAAAGGCTTTGTCCCTAAAACATGTCTTGAGTTAAGGGCTCTGTATTGTAAAGTTTTCCTATTGATTCCTTCCCTGGAGTTTGTGCTTTTTGGGGGAGATGGGGCATTGATAATTGCTTCAGCTGTTCTTGACTGTTATAGGGCACTTCAGCAGAACTGTGTAGCCTGAGTGCTTGTGCTTCGTAAAATAACCCTTTGGCCCTGCAGAATGGGAGGATTTACAGGTTTAGCCTTCTTGATTTGTTTTGGATTATTCTGTATGAGCTATTCATGGAGAGTACAACAGAGCTGAAGGTAAGGCAAGGTTGTTGCTAGACTATCTGAAGATGAGAGCCACGGAAATAAAGTGCTATTGTTGTTCTTCAAGCAATGACACTGACTGAAATAAAAGACATCTGGGTAGGAAATAGCAGCCTGCTTCCAGGGAGCATCCATGGTGTACCTCAGCTTGCCATGAATGCTAGCCCTGCTAGGCAACCAGGAAAGGGATCTGCAGGCAGCTGTGAGCCAGGCCAAAGACAGAAAAAGAAAAAAAGCCTAACCCTGAGAAAAAGGGGTACATTCTTCCTAATTGTGCTTTGGAATGGAAGTCTTTTTATTCTTGTCTTTTGTTGCATTTTTCCTCTTCCTTTTCACGCCTCAGCAACAGCCTGTGGGTCTCAGTGCTTGAAGGTGCTGGGTGGCCATGTCCCACCCTTCCAGCTCTGCCCAGCTCCAGGTGGGTTTGGGGCTCACTGTGGGAGAACTGCAGCACCTCTGCATGTTCATCTCACAATCCTTGAGCTGGGTCAGACTGCAGTGCTGGCCCTAACCCTTAGCAGGGGAAGGTGAAACCTGCCCAAATCTGCTGAAGAACAGAGTCTGGTTGTGGATGGTGGCAGAACTACAGTTTCACCTAAGGATAAGTATCCAGCCAAAATTTACAGTATTTTTTGAAGTGGCTGGTGGCTAACATCAAGTTCAGAGTGTTTGGAACTTTTAATAGATATCTCTGAGAAGTCCTTTGAGGAAGGCAGTGGTGGACAGGAAGAGGTGTGAAATAGGATGTCCAGGGTTAGGTGAGGAGTCAGTGGCAGAGAGAATTGAATGTGGCTCTCCTCTGCCCAGGCTGTCACCCTCACTTCTGGGCCATCTCTTCTCTCAGCAGTTTGTGCAAGTAGACTAAACCTCACTCAAAATCAAAGTGAGAAGGACAATGGGTGGGGAGAGGGAGGGACATTGCTCAGGGGAGAGAGAAATGGCTTTGGGCAAGAGCTGAGAGAAGCTGAGGCAGCACAGGGCAAGAGTGGTGGCAGCACCAGTGAAAAATGCTCTGAGGTCATAAGGAAGCAGGACCAGGAGCTGTCTGCATGAGGAGAGAAGCTCCCCATGGTGATGGTCTCACCTCTTGCACACATTTCTTTTTTGTCTGTTTTACCTTTGATGTTTCCCTGTTCTCCCTTTATTATTAGATGTGCACTGGCAGCAAACAGGTTCTCAAATATTTATCAAAATTCTTGACTCGATTAATCAAAATTTATTGTATATGCCTCCCATCTTTAAACAATGAAGCTATGATACCCTCTGGAGACCCGGAGGTGCTGGAAGTAACCTAAGGCATCCCCTCTCTTTCAGCACAGGCTTGGGGTTGAAATGCAGGGAAGGCTGCTGGCAGGGCCAGCTGTAGCTCAGGCAGCAGCCTCAAGAGGGAGAGGAGGCTTTCTCACAGGCTTTCATGACCAATGTTCAAAGGGAAATGCCTTTAGAAAAGAAAAGGCTGGGCTTGCTGGCTGTACAAAACTCAGACCTGCAAATCTGTTCTGTGGCTTTGTTTTCCCTGTTTTTGTTTTTCCTTTGTTCTACTTAATCCTTCCCTTTTGCTCCTGCACGTGGCTGGGGACTACTTTTCTCAACCTGGGGACTTCAAAGCTTAGCCTGGGATAAGGAGTCTCACCTAAACAGATTCAAGTCTGCACCTTTTCTCCTTGGTCAGAGATGCATCATCCCTGTGTATGACAGGACAAAAAGCCTGGACAGGAGGGGAAATAACTGATTATTTCCCTTGAACTAAAGGATGCCCTGGCACTGTGTGGTCGATCACTGGACAAGAGCAGCACAATTGGACAAATGACCAATATAACAGCTAACAAATGGAAAACACCGCTGCCAGCAAAGGAGCTGGCTATTTAAAGGCAGCAAGAGGTTTGAAGCACCAGCCCTAGCAACAAGGACAAAAGTTATTCCAAACACATGAGGCAAAGCCACCACAAACCCATTGCAGCATGCTATTAATAGGAAGGGGGCCTTCATTAATTTCTTAAAGAATGATGCCAAAGCATCAGAAGAAATTTGTGGTGCACATAAAGGAGCAGCACGTTTCACTGTATCTAATTGCCAGAGTAATTATTTTCTGCTATGCAAATTACCAGGAGCAAATCCACTGCAGTACATCTATGTGTATTTAATTATCATCAAGAGCTGGAGTTGAGGGACTAGATTTAATATGTTCATAATGAAATAGCCAGAATTTGTGTGTGCATTTGCAGAGAACTCGTTATTTTACCACAGCTGGATTTGTTTATTTTAAATAAATCATTATGGCAGATACAGTTTCTGCGTGCTTGCCCATCTGCTGATTTATCACAAAAATTGTGGTTTCATTTATATGGGTGGTTTCTATCAAACACACATCACCCCTCTTGCTTGCAAGCTTCATGTTTCTGTAGGATTTAAGGAATAGCTCAATGCAAAGAAAAGCCATTTTTGGATAAACAAAGGCTGGAGGAATAGGAGGAATTAGGACAACCTGGGTGGCTTAGGATTTTGTAAGGTTTTGGGTCTTCATACTTACAAGCTTGTTGTGGTTTAAAACCAGGACAAGGATGAAAACTGGAATTCTAGCAACACCCATTTGTAAGCCAAACCTCTTATTGTTCAATGTCTATTTGATGATGTGCATGAGGCAAGTTAATGCTTTTGGTTTCTAGGGAATATTTTATATTTTCTCATCATAGCAAGAAACAATAGAAGTGTACAGAGGATGCAGGATCATCACTCTGAACCTGAGATGGTTCTTCCTCTCTTAAGCTTCAGACTTTATGGGCCAGAGCTTTACTAAAGATATTAGGATATCATTTCAAGGCTCAAGTTATAAGAAAAATATTAAAACTGGGAAGAAATACTTTTGCCACTTTGTCATATTTTGGTGGTTTTCTGTTAATGGAACTCTTGGAAAAAAAAATTAAAAAAATTCTGAAAGCCAGCAGCGTAGGTGGCTGCTCAGCCAAGAAAAATCATGTTGTGTAGTCCCCAGGAGTGGTGTGTGTGACATGATCCTGTTAAAACCTTGGAATCTGCAGCTCTGGAGGAGATGCTCCATATCAGTCCAAGCTCCAGTCAGGAAAAGCGATCAGTAAGGGCAGATTTATTTCCTGTGCCTCCTGCCTTGTAGCTTTGCTTACCTTGATCTGGCAGCACCAACCTGGATGCAGTTGGCTTCTACTTAACACCCAGTTGTTTGTTGTGGTCACTGTTTGGAAAAGCAGGAGGGAGGCTCCAGGCGGTCCCGTTCCTGTCGTGCCAGGGCAGTGCCAGGTGAGAACGTGGCCGCAATGCAATTAGAAACACAGAGCACTGCCAGCCTTTGTGTTCCTTTGTTTCCTCTTGTGGATACCAACTCAAGTTGCACAACACAATAAGCCAGGGGTAACAAAGGGTCACGAAGGTACCGTGCTGTGTCACGGGCGGTGGGCTGGGGCCAGCTTCTGGTGACATTTCCGTGACAGTGCCCACAGGACCCTTTTTCACAGTGTCCCTGAGCTGGTTTGTGCATAATTGATGGGTACCCTGAGGTTCTGCCTCCCCCTCCTCCCCAGGACGTCCTTTTCTGTGTTGGTTTATTTTTTAAATAATTAACAGACTTTGTGACTGCCTGTCTATCTGTCCCTCTGGAATTCCTCTCCAGCTGCTCTCATCCCTTTCCTCAGCCCCTCCCTTTCCTCCCCAACACGCTTTTCCTTTCACTGTATTTTAAAGGGGTGTCTTTCATTTTTGCTTTGTGCAATGAAACCGCTGAGCGCTTTTTGAATGAGATGCTCTTTGCTGCTTTCTGGTGTCCTGAAATCTTTCCTGCCCAGATTCCCTCTCTCCTTCCCATTAAAGGAATCCTTTGATGCCTGGTATCCCTTGCCTGATGGGCACCTTCCCTCCCTCCAAACCACAGCTATAAATTTCCTGTCCCTGTAGTGTGAAGGGGTGTGTGCAGCTGGGGATGAACAGGGGACCCCATTCCCACCCTGCTTGTCCCCTCCTGTGGCTGGTGGTGGCTGCTGTGGTCTGACCCGTGCCTGAATTGGTGTGGATGTGAGGTTATTCAAGCAACACTCCACACATCTTCTTAAGGTATAGTGAGCAGGGATAAGAGTCTGCTGTTCGCTCTCTCTTCCCAGAGCATCCATTTCACCGGTCCAAGCAGCAGAGAAGCTGTGGCACATCTTAATGCTACTGGGAAAAATCAGCTCATGAAGGTGTTGGCTTCCCTTCTGCTGCCATGATTGTTTTTATTCCCAGAGGAAAGTCATCCAAGTAGAAGAGAAACCTCAAAGCTTAAAGTGGATCTGCTGAGATATTTGCTCTATGTTTTGGGCTTTTTACAAAGTGGTCTGGATCAAGGTTGGAAATTGTGATTGTTGTGTAAAAGCCCGAGATCTCAGGGCAATGCTGGTTTCTGGGCATGTACTTGGGAGTGAGAAATGCTAAGACTGTGCTTGCTGAACTTGAACCTCTTTTCATTGGCAACAGAAAATTTTGTCAGGTTGTTCCTCTCCACCTCATGTGAAGACCATCTACCTATTTTAATCACTTAATAAATAAACTTGCTCCCCATCTCTGCTTGCCTGGGCTTGCTGCTCTCCAGATCCCCGTTTTAATTGACACACAGCTTGTGGTGCAGCTGGGGGCTGTGCCAATAACTCACATATCCCAGGCATGGCAGGCAGATAGGCCCCCTCCCTCCGACACCATCATTCCAAGCAAACATCAGACAAGCTTTGATGTGGGTCCTGCGCTTGCAGCCTCAAAAGAAGAATCTTTGGAACCCCGTTTGCACTGTTCCTCATGCCAGAAATTGCAGCAATGTCACAACAGCCAAGCAACTGGGTGCTCAGCATGGTGGAGGGAATATTTTGCAGCTCCTCAGCAGACACGGTTGTGCTGGAGAATAATCAAGAGCAGCAGCCGCCTGAGGTCGGCAGGGATTTGGGCTGTGAAAATAATAATAATCAGGGATGGGGAATGGGTGATAGGGCTGTTGTTGGACCATCTGAGGCACTTGTCAGAGGACATTAGCCCTGCAATTAGGAGAAGCTGGGGAGGAGGGAAGGGAAGACAGCAAGAACAGTGCTGCAGCAGGGAGGGCTTTGTGTCAGCATACAAAGCTTTTTTCTCAGCAGGGCTGCTGGGATTTGCTCAGGTCTCCTCCCAGATAAATTAACTCAGTACAACACCTGCTTCTTTAATATGGCCAGGCGAACTCCAAGAAGACCTGGCCTTTCCTTCTCATTTCTGTCTTTTCTAAACTTTTCTTTCTTTTTATTTTATTTTTTTTTTTAATGATATTGAAGCAGCCTGTGAACTCCCTTCTCTTGTTTTCTTCCACCTCTAAACACCCTTTCTTATGAAGGCTGAGAATGTTCCCCCCTCATAAGAAGGTCTGGGAAAAAAACAAACAAAGCCAAAAACATTTGAAAGATTTAGAACAAAACCCCCACACTCAAAAAAAAAAATCAAAAAAACCAACAACAAAAAAGCCCAAGCTGGCAAGAGGTGAAGGGTATGTAATTGCTATTCCTTCTGCAGCCCACTAAAGCTGCATGTTTTAACCATCTGAGGACAGCAGAGAAATTTCTCTTCCAAGAGAGTCAAATGTGGGGTTTGCATTTTCTTTTCAGGAGGGGTGTGGGGTGAAAGAGGTGGGCTTCATTTTCCTTGGGATTAGCTAAAGCTCCTTCCACTTTTATGTTGGCAACATGAGGTTTCATCAGACCTCTGATCCTGCCCTGAATAAAAATATAGCATTACTGTCAAGCAGGGCAGAGGGCTTGAACTTAACTGGATTAAAGCACTGGATTTGAAGCAGCGTTCTTGGCTTGGTAGAGGGAGGTGTGGGGGGCTCCTCTGCTCCCAAATTCAGCTCAGGCATAGGGGAGTCCTATCTGTGCTGCTGACTGAAAAACTTCAGCCTGAATTTTCTTCCTGGATGCTTGACTTGATGCTCAGCTGTCCCCTCGCTGCAATTCCATGGATTTATCCCTGCCAATGTCCCATGGGCAGCAGGCTCCCTGTCAGTGGGGTGTGCCTCATATTCATGGAGATGTATGCACGAGTTTAACTGCAAATAAATGCCACATTTGCTTATAGCTTAGTGTTTGCCTTTCCCATATGAATAAACATCCCTGGCTGCTCCTCTCAGTCCTGCCCACACCCTTGAGAACACTTTCACAGCCTGTTTGCTGCCCTTGGCTCTCAGTTTGCTCTTTGGACACTTTTCTTGCCAGATTTTGCAGGTTTTTTCTGACCTCTGCTGATGGTCCAATGTGCTGTGGTTTAATGGTGTGTTTTACAAGGGAGCAGAAGCCTCAGAGCATCTACTCCTGCCTTGTTGTGTGTTGTGCCTCCCATCTTGGTGAGCTTGGATGTATCCCCACATGTCCAGTAATGAGCATGGGCTAATTGCCTAGGCAGATAGAAAAATAGATAGGTAATTTGTAGCTATTTAATTTTACATTAGGTGGAGGGATGTAGGGGCAGAGGCTAATGTTGTTGGCATTTCTTTTCAGGGTTGTTAACCAGATATGCTGCCTCTGGGGCATAACAATGCTTCCCTCGGTAGAGCTCTAATACTTTTATTACATTCTTATTAATTTAGCAATGGCCTAAAGTCTGTGAGGCACCTTCCAAGGCATGATCCCTGCCCTGAGGACCTTGCAGACTAATTCCAAAGCATGATACAACGGGGGATTATTCAGTGAGAGCAAGGGCCTAATGGAGTAAGAAATGGTTTGTATTAGATAAATGGATAAGGATGAATCAGTGCAAGAGTTAATCACGTTGTTCCTTACAGGCACGTGGGGATAAAGCAGCTCCTCAGGAGATCTGTGGTGTCTTTCAAGCAGGGACCAAAGCTGGAGGTGTCTCCTGTCTCCCAGATCAGGAGATCTCCCAGATCCTCACGGATGGCTGCTTTGGGAAGCAAGTGCAAGATGCTACGTGAGTAAATGCTCTGTCTACAAAACCCTTGGCTGTAACCCCCAAAACTGGCCATGTCCTGTCCCCCGGAAACACCAACAGCTCTCACTCCATCTCCTCTCTTAGCCCTTTGGGGACAGAGGGCTGGGGGGATTCTTTTATTTAGAGTGAAATTGTAAAGCTGCACCTTTTTCCCCAGATTTCAGTTCTTGGGAAGCCACACAGCGATGGTCCCAAACAAAAGAGCTATGTGGGAATCTGGGGAAAGGGCCGGAGGGGAGCAGGGCCTGGAAAAGGGCTTATGCTCAGGGGTGGCCAAAGGGTCCCCCAGCACCTGTCCTCCCTGTCTGAAGCCTGTAAGCTGCCCAGAACGGCCCGTGGCTCGTGGGACAGATGGGTCTGCAACAGCTGAGGGAGCTCAGGGCAGGCGGGATGAAAGCGAGACGAGGAGCCCTCCCCTCGGAGCCTCGGCAGCGCGGGCTGGTGTGAGCCAGTGGGGAACATTTGGTGTCCATGTGGCATCTGGCAGCAGAGTTTGCTTCTCTGGCATTTCCTTTGGTGAAAGGAAGAGCAAAGCAATTCCTTTCCAAGCAGCTGCTCCGCTCTGCTGGGAGGGAACTGCATCCTCCTCCTCCTCCCTGCCCTGGCCCCTTGGCAGGGTGCTGTATCCCAACCCCCTAAATTAACACCCCCAGTCCCAGGTAAACATCCTTTACACTCATTTACTCATATTTTTCTACTACTGAGGAAAGAAAACCTCTCTGCATCACTTACTTTTAAAACGAGTTGCTGTGGCAACTGGACGCTGCACTTGAAGCGCTCGGCTCTGTCTTCTTGACATCATTGTTTGACTTCCAGTTGCTGGAGCAACAGATCTCTGGGAAGAACCAGTGAGGCTGAGGTTTCTCTTTCTTTCTTTCTTCCTCCACGTTGCTTTTCTTTGGGGCCCGAGAGCACCAGCAATGGTTTCCTTTTCACTGAAGACACACACGCTGTTAACATATGATGGGAAGACTTCAGGCAGTAGTAGAAGGAATGGGGGTAAGGTCAAGGGCTTGCTACAATGGGGGAATTCCTACAAAACAGAGAAAAAGAGAGAAAGAATGAATGAGCCATTATGTGTCCCAAGATCAGAGGGTTAGAGAAGTGCCTCCAGCACACCCAGTGTCAGGCATTTACCATGTAATACTTTTCTGTTGGTGGTTCTGAGCCCCAGGTTTTCCCAAAGCAGAGACACAGCTGGGGTGACAAGCAGAGAATGTGAAATGCCATCAGATATAACTGTATAAGTCAATACCACAATGTAGCTCCTTCATTTCCTCTTAAATGAAATATTAGACTTACAGCTTCCTTCCAAAAACTTTTCATTGCTGTCAGGGCTCTGGCCAGGGAGCAGCTGTGTAACCCATCCCAGATAACTTTCTGCTGCAGTGGGATGCAGGAGGGCATATGGGCCAGCTGTTTACTTAATTATTGCTCTCTAAAAGCTGCCTGACCTCTGTGGCAATTGTTCAGGGCTCTGGCTGTAGCCACACAGGGTGGTTGGGGGTGGTGCCCATCAGGTGCACCATTGTCACCCTGTGCCAACAGCTCAGAGGGTCCCCGTTGGCACAGGGGTGTCTTGGTGATGCACTGGGACTTCAAGAACCAGAATAATGTTCTTTGTTAAAATGCTTACAGCAATGCTCAGCTGCATGTGCCCAGGCTGGGACTCTTCACTGGGTTTATGCACTGACATCCAGGTCCTACTTCAGCATTTTGGGTGAACTGACATTGTGGTCCTGCACAGAGTTCTTGGTGAAGTGTGGCTGTTTTTCACAGAATCATGGACTCCTAGAATGGTTTGGTTTAGGAAGGACCTTTGAGATCACCTAGTTCTACCTGCCCTGACATGGGGTGGGGGTTTTCTTTGGGATTGGTGTTTGCAGAGCTTGAGGTGACAACAGCTACTGACTCTTTGCCTGATGCTGAATTCACAGATCCTTAAGTCTGAGTTTTGTACCACTCCCTGGCACGAGGCTGACCAGGCGTGGTGTAAAGGCCAGGGCAAGAGGGATGCTGGAGGTGGGATGATGGATGCACTGGAATAAACTTCTGGCGTTATGCATTAATAAGTGAAATGTCAAAGCAGGGATTGTGTTTTGGCAAGTATTTTAAGCATAAAACCTTAGTGATAAACTACTGCACTTTTAGCAGGGTAACCATTTCCTTGATTACCTGATAACACAACCATAAGATTTCAATTTGAATCAGAAAATTAGGGGAGGCCTTAAGTGATGCTGTTGGATGGGCTAGAATCTGTGAAATTTAAAGTTCAGTTTTTAATTCAAATGGATTTGAAGTTAAATGTTAATTTTGAAAAAAAATTTGAGAAGTAGTAATAAAAAATGTTAAATCTCTTGGTGTCAAGATAGGTAAAGATAACTGTCATTAAACGGCATGTAGATTCATAGAATCATTAAAGTTGGAAAAGACCTTTAGGGTCATCAGGACCCACTGTTAACCCAGCACTGCCAAGTTCACCAATAAACCACATCCCTCAGTGCCACAGAATTACTTAAAAACCTGAGATTTTCTTGGTCTTAGAATTCTTGCTAAGGTTTCTGGCTGTCCAGCTCA